TCATTATCCTTCTTACTCATATTTTTGGTGCTTAAATTGGTGAAATTTGTGGTCATAGTATGGTGGGTTCCTCTAAGAATGACCAGGTTAATGGGAAAACAGGGTATTAGAGGACCACCATACAAATTTCTCTATGTGAACAACGAGGAAGTGTTGCAGATGGCAATGGAATCTGCTATGAAAGCCATGGATTTCACCCATGATATCTTGCCTAGGGTTCAGCCTCATGTTTATGCTGGGACCAAAATATATGGTAAGAACAACAAAATAAATAGGAGAAAAGAGGTAATAGGAGTTCTATAATTTTAAACAAGTCCTAAACTCAATTTAGTTTGTTCTTTGTTCTATGAGTTCATGATTGGTGTATCTGTAGAAAGATTATCTAGTCTAGCATCTGGTTAACATGATTGTCTTAGAACTCGGCTGAGTGGAAACAGACTCCGGCAATTTGCCGAGTAAAGTGCCTCTTCACAAGCTCAATTAGATAAAGACTTTTAGTATTTCACTAAATCAATTTTACACAGTTTTTAGATTTTCTATGTAATTTTTTTATTTTTTATGATGATTTGGGAGTTATATATTTTCCTTTTTTCCAATTTTTTTGACTTTTTTTTTTACAAATTTTCAGCTATAAATCAATGTTTCCCGACACTTCTATCTTTTAAGTATTTGATCAATTGTTTTGGACTTTAGGTGTTTTTTTTATAGTTCCAATTGGTCATTTTTATTTTATTTAGTTTTCTAGCCTTTGTTAGAGTCTAAACTGTTACGGTAGTTCAATTGAAGTGGCCTGAGTTACTCCGCTCAAGGGGGGGCTCAAGTCCCAAGCTGAGCGGAATAATAAAACTTTGTTTAACACACACAAGGGGCGTAGTGTGAGGCCAATGTTTTTGGATTCCATCCTTCAAAGTGTTGTAATTCGGAGAGAGAGAGAGATATCCTAGAATTTGAAAGGAATGATGGATTTTTTAATTTTATATTTTCATTTACAGGGAATACTTTCCTGAGCTGGATGGGAACTAAGCCTCAGCTTTTCATTAGAGATCCAGAGTTTATGAGAGAGGTTCTCAACAACCAAAATGGAGACTATCAAAAACCAGATATCCTTTCAATCTCCAAAAGGCTCTTTGGAGATGGGCTTGTAACTACAAACGACGAGAAGAAACGGGTTCACCTTCGCAAGGTGGCCAACAAGGCCTTCAATGCCGAAAGCCTCAAAGTAAATGGAGTAATTTGTTTCGGGATTGCGTCCTAGGTACTAGACGATCACAATTATTTTTTTAAGTATTGAACCTGAAATCTAATAGATGAAAGTGTGCCACACCATTTAAAAAATTTTATTTTGGATTTTTTTGCCTAAATTATGACATATCCTCAACTATCTGATTTCAAATCTAACTGTCAATGATAGTTTCAATCTTTCGTATCAAATAAGTGATCTCATTATCTGCATGTCCCTTTCTTTTTTACTCATATCAAATAAGTGATCTCATTATCTGTATGTCCCTTTCTTTTCTTTTTTTCAAGAAAAGGATAAGCACTTGGAATATTTCTAGATGAGGCTTGGGTAATTCATTAAAAGGCATAAATTGAAAAAGGAATGTACGAAAATACGAAAACAATTAGATTTGAATACATTATAATACTATTTAGACAAGCAATTTCATCACTGAAGTGGAAAGCCGACTCAAGGTAAATGTTTGGATAAATAAATTTTTAAATTCTAAATTGCATAAACAATTTAAGACCTATTATTTTTTTATTGTTATTATAACACTGGGAGTGGAGAGGTTGACATTACGTTGAGGGATCCAAACCTCAATCACCGACGCCCGAATGGGCCCTTAAGACTTATGAACTTATTAAACCTTCACCCAATTGTCTTTCTACTATCTTTTTAACCTCAATCAAATTAACAGTAGTCAAGTTAAATAACTTTTTTCTCTAGGTAGTTTAATAGTAGGAATTGAATTTGAGATGTAGCATGGCTAATAAATTTGGCCAATCATGGTTCGTTTCGTGCACTGGTTGTTTCCAGAAATGGTTAAGGGCATTGAGGAAATGATGAAAAGATGGAGAGATAATGGAGAGAAAGAGATTGAAGTTTTCAGTGAATTCAGGGTTTTGTCATTGGACGTGATTTCCAGGACAGCATTTGGAAGCAATTACTTGGAAGGGAAAGATAAGTTAGAATTGTTAGCGAAGATGGCTAAAATCATTGCCTCAAATATCCGTAAATTTCAGTTTCTTGGCATTGGGTAAGATTCTCTGCGGGCCCTTCATCTAAGTTTTGGAGTGCACATACTTCATGAAAATGTAACCAACATTTAGCTTGAAATTTGGGCTAACTTCATTCAAAAGAGGTCAAAAAAATTCATCATCGACATCTTTGGAGCTTTTTTGTAACTAATTGGGGTCGGCTATAGAAGGTTCCCCCCAATCTTGGGCACTTCCCTCAGCTACTTCTAGTCACTTGATTAGGATATGGAGGGAGGTCGAGAGTGACATTATTCCTTTATAGCCATAAAAGGATCTCCTAGTATGGATCCATTATGCAAGCGGTCAGTTTTCGATAAGAGCTTGGGATTTTCTTCGATATAAGGGTTCCCCGTAGCCCATATTTAGAGCTCTATGGCCTTCTAAATGCCACCCAAATCTAAATGGTTCTCATGGTTGGCCCTCCACAATCGTCTTCCTACTTCCTCTCTTCTGCAGCAGCATGGTATTTCTCTGGCATCTTTTTGCCCTTTCGATCTTGGTCCGTAATTTTTCTCTATTAAAAGACATACCCACTATGAGGCCATAAGTCCATATATTGTTTTCTCACAACTTCTAACCATATTTTTTTGGGTCTATTCTTTGCTCTTTTTTTGCCTTCCACTTGAACTAACTCGCACCTCCTTATATGTACTTCACTAGCTCTATGCAGAACATGGCCAGCCCACTTAAGTCTATTTTCTCTCATCTTATCGCCTATTAGTGCCACACCTAAATTCTCTTGAATGTATTCATTTCGAATTCTATGCCATATTGTATTACTACTCATCTATCTCGACATCCACATCTCAACTACACTTTCATTATATAGGTATGTTATTTTTTGACCGCCCAACATTCTAGCGCATAAAGCAAAGCTGGTCACATAACTATCCTATAGAACATGCACTTCAGCTTCATTCACATAGGGCGATCACATAAATTTTTGGTAGCACATCTCTACTTTGCCCACCCAATTGTAGTTCTATATGCGATAGCTTCCTCAATCTATTAGTTTTCCTAGATTATCAACCCATGATATTAAAAGTGTGTTTTTTTTGGTATTTTTTGGCCATCAATCTTAACTATTTCCTTCTCTCTACTTCTATTATTACTAAAATTGTATTCTATATACTCTGTATTATTCTGCCTAATTTTAAAACCTTTAGATTCTAGAGTATCCCCCAAAGTTACTTTATGTTGATGCCTTTTCAGATCTCATTGATGACAACTATGTCATCTACAAATAACACACACCATATTACCTTCTCTTGTAGGTACCTAGTGAAGTCATCCACAACTAAGACAAAGAGATATGGGCTGAATGTTAACTGCGATTGTAAATCTACTGAAAACTCACTTGTGTATGCACTAGTTGTTTGTACACTAGTTAGCGCTTCTTCATACATATATCTCACCAAGTTTATATAGTATCTGAAGGCTCCTTTCTTTCCCAACACGTACTCTATAGGTTCATAAGAAATAGTTAGAATCACGTAAAAAACTAGTACCTACACATGCCTTATTCATCTAAATATGGTTACAGACATCAACATTTAGCAAAGATACAACTGCCATAAATTCCATTCTCAAAATTGGTCTTTCACATATTACAATTGGTACACCATTTAAGAAAAGAGAAAGCTTCCATAGACCACTAGATGCAGGAAATTGATATATGCTACCATCTTCCAGTCGTTCGATCTGAATGGACTGTTGAAATGGCCCCAATCATGCCAAAACACTATTTTATTTTTAAGTTTTTCTAGTGATGATATTCACTCCAAATTTTTGATATTCATGATAAAATAAAGTGATTAAAGTAACCCTGAAAATTTCAGGAGTATTTAGTCATTTTGTTTTCCAAAAATAATTTCATATGTTGTTTTAGTTGCATGCCATTGGGATGATGGCACATATAAAATATCATGTTCATATGATTTGTAAAGAAAAATTAAATCCAAAATACACTAAGATATCAGAACTAGATAAAACAGTCAATGGCTCACTTTTGAGACTGCAGGTGAAGCTATCCTAGCATTCCCTTAGATTGGACCGCTCGAAGAGAGTAGCATACAAATTTCCTACACCTTATAGTGTATAGAAAGCTTTCCCTTAAAAAAAAGGGGGGATGAGGGATGCGCAATTCTATTTTAAGATTTCAAGAAGAAATATAGAGAAAAAACCATCTAGGTTTCTCTTTAGCAGACAGTATTGTATCCTTATCCTGTTTGCATGCATAAAGAACCATAACCACACTCAGCCTTGTTGCATAGCACACATGCCGCTATATCAAATATTAGTGAGAAACCTCACCTTCGATTGCAAGATTTATTTACATACCGTGTAGTAGTTAATACAACGTAAAATAGGGAGAAACCATAACACAACAGTCCCCATGACCTGTAGTCCTTTCCTCTTACGTACTTTTGGGGAGAACCTAACGATTCAATTTCTATGTTTGTTTTCTCTAAATATCAAAGCTTACAATGTCCGTTTTCCATAACCTATATGGGCTTACCCATTTATGTGTGTTTATGTGTAGAATTGCCATGGTCATATGGGAGCATTTTGCTTGCCTACGCCTGTGCTATGGCATGTGTTTGTGGGACTGTTCTCATAATTTTGAAGTAATAGTCAGTCTCCTTGATAACATGGGGTTTCTATTTTGCATGATATTTTGAACCAAAGACAAAAAGAAGGCTGACGAAATAGATCAAGAAATCACGACAATGCTCATGAAAATGATCAAAGCAAGAGAGGAGAAGGTGAAGAATGGTGAATCAGATGGTTATGGGAAAGATTTCTTTGGGACATTGCTAGAATCCAACCATGATACACAAGATGGTGCTAAGCATTCCTTGCAAGATATCATAGATGAATGCAAGACCTTCTATTTTGCTGGTCATGAGACTACCAATGGCCTACTCATCTGGGCAGTTGTTCTCTTAGCCATGCACCCAAAGTGGCAAGAGAAGGCGAGGAAAGAGGTAATAGAGGCCTTCGGCTTCAACACACCCACCATTGATGGAGTTAACCGGCTTAAAATAGTAAGTTATTATTCTCTCTTTTTTTTTAAGCTTTTATTATTGAGGCTAATTTGACCACCATAGTTTACTAATGTAACTAAGTTAGTAGAAACGAGTATTTGATTACTCATGCAAGGCAAATTGAACACCCTCGAATAACATGGGCACGCCACCCAAACTGTTGTACTTAGATACTACTTGTTGGGCTCACCCAATTAGATCCCTTGTGCACAAATGTGGATGCACGCAGCAGAACACGACTATATGGGACACAAAATATGCCAAAGTCGATGTGTACTTATATAAGTGGGAAAAACATACAAATTAAGCAAATAAGAAATAAAACTTATTTACAACGAGATTAACGTGGTTTACCTATTCAGGCTTTGTCCACGGGAGAAAGAGACTAATCCACTACAATGGTTACAATAGTCTTCCAAGGAATAAACTTTTTTGGACTCTCTGGTTTTTTCTAGAAGGTTTTCTCTCTCTGAGGTTCTTCACCCTCTCAGATGATTTTAGCTTTCTATAGGCGTTCTCTCTCTAAAAGAAAATGTTATCTCTTTTTCTCTTCTTCTTCTCTCTAAGACAAGGGTCACTTTCTCTCTCTTCTTCTTCTTCTCTGCAAAAGAAGGCTGCCTGTGCTTTCCATACACCAAGAAAAGTCAATCAAGAAACTTTCCCACATTTTTGCCTTTATGTATGAGCCAAAGGGATAATGACAATTATAAAAAATGTATCAAATGACATCCTAAAAGGTAGCTCATCTCTACTTCTTTTTAGAAAGAGATAAGAGAAATATTTACCCATACCAAAACCATCACGTGAAATCCTATTTCTATAGAACGATGGCTTATCGACCAAGTTACCTTTTTTTATTTCCCAAATTGCCCTTTTAACAAGAGGCAATTTCCATTAGATACCCCCCTCAATGGCATGAGACACCCAATAATCCCAGCCTCCATTCCCAAGAGGGAGGTTTCCCTTTACAGATCAACCGGGTGCTAGATGGCACCGATGCTTGCCATGCTCATATATAACTCTTGCTTACCTCGGGCTAAGATCTTTGTCATCAATTCTGACTTATTCTTTTCGGTATGGATCTTCTCTATCCACAATAACTTCATTTCTTGGACATCTGAATCCAATGGTAACACACATCATTTTGCCTCGTCTTAGAATGAAAGCTATCATTCTTGCTCCAGTTAATAGAATTTTGACTGTCACAATGGACGATGTGCTTTTCATGTTTCAAGCCAAACTCACGAAGGAATCTCTTCATCCATATCATCTTCTAACCAGCTTCAGTGGCTGCATAGTACTCTACCTCTGTGGTCAATAGAACAACACACTTTTGCATTTTAAATTGTCATGAAACTGCTCTGCATGCAAAAGTGAACAGGTATCCCAAAATTCACTTCCTGGAGTCTACATCTCCAGCCATGTCTGCATCTGTGTACCCTTGAACCATAGGTTTACCTCTCTTAAAGCACAAATATACTTTGGATATTCATTTGAGATATCTGAGTACCCACTTGGTTTCTGCCTAGTGTTCCTTGTCAAGATTAGCGATAAATCGGCTCATTACACCAATTGTGTATATCATATCTGGCCATGTACATTGGCTGTGAGATTTTTACTTCAGTCTTTATCCTGAAGACCCACTTATTCTTCAGTGCCTTCCTACATATGGGGAACTTTATCAGGTCATTGTTTTGGTTCTCATGAAAGGACTCCAACTCTTCATCCATAGCTTTAACTCACTCCACATTTTTCTCGTCGTCTTGAGCTTCTTGGTAGCTTTTTGGTTCACCCCTTTCAGTTTATATGATATACGCTGATGCACGGTATCTGGTAGAGGGTTTATGCCACCTAGAGGATCTTCTCAGCTCAACTGCAGATGACACTTCTTGAACATGCTGCTGCCGTTGTTCCACATCACCCAGAATAAGCATGTCAAACTCTTGGTACCCATCCTCTTGTTGCACTTCTCTCCTATCTTCATATACCACGGTAGGGGGAACTATGACCGGTTCTAAACCATTGGACATCCTCAGCTTTTTTGACTTCTTCACATCTTCAATGGTAAGGTCTTCCGAAAAAGCACATCCCTACTTTTGATCGCCTTCTTATTCTCAAGATTCCATAACCTATAGCAAACTTTTCATCTAAGTAACCTAAGAAGATGCATAGGAGTGTTTTTTCATGCAACTTGGATTTGTGTTCCTTGGGCACGTGCACCAATGCCTTGCAAACGAACACTCTCAAGTGTGAATAAGATATAGCTTTTCAAGTCCAAACCATCTCTTGGATATCTAGAGGAAATGATGGGGATCTGATTATTAGGTAGCAGCTATGAGGACTGCTTAACTTTAATATGGTTTTAATAACTTGGCGGTGGATAGTATGCTCCTAACTCTTTTCATAATAGTGCGATTCATTCTCTCTGCTACACCATTATGCTGGGGGCATAAATGACATTGTCTTTTCATGTCTTATGTCACACTTGATACAATAGTTTTTAAAAGCACTCGAGCTGTACTCTCCCCCATCTGAGACACTTCAGCAACTTATCGTCTTCCTTTTCACCTTACCATAGAAATTCTGAAAGATTTCAAACACGTGATCTTTAGATTTAATTGAGTAGACCCACACCTTTCTTGAAGCATCATCGGTGAAGGTGATGAAATATAATTTGCCACCGAGAGACTTGAAATCCATGGGCCCACACGCATCTTAATACACCAGATCCAGGATATTCATCTCTTTAGAACTCTTATTGAAGAAAGAGACTCTATGTTGTTTGCTTAGCATACAGTGGTCATGTGGGGTAAGAGATGCATTCTTCACATTGGAAGAATATGTTTCTTTGTTAAGATTTGCATTGCTTTCTCACTCATGTGGCTAGGATGCCTGTGTCACAAATGTTGTAAGGTTTTGTCCAAGGCAGCCTTAACTTCTCCATCGGAGACTTGCACCTGTGTTCTGTAAAGTGAACAACGCTTCTTACCCTTTACTATGACAAGAGATCCCTATGTCCCTCACCAAACATTGAGTGGTACCCTTTATCACGTAAACACCCTCCTAAGATGGGGTTCAGATGGATATATGGTACACATATGACATGCTTTAGCACAAGGTTCATCCCAACATTAGTTTTAATGGCTACATCTCTCTTACCCACAATCTTTGAGAAACTGTTGTTCTCTATCTTTACAGAACCAAAATCTCCCGCTCTGTAAAAAGAAAAATAGTGTTTATGTGGGGTAACATGAAACGATGCACCAGAATCTACAACCCTGTCTGAGTTCCATGAACTTGATGCAAACCAACATTTGTGATCACTAATTTTTTTGCCATCATCCTTGGCATTGTCCTCAGTCTGCTTTTTCAAAAAATCTTTCTTGAAGTTCGCTTTCTTGCCACAATGATAATACGTGACCCCTTTTCTCGACTTAGATGTGGCTTTGTCCTTCGATAGATTAGATCGGTTTTGGTATCTTGTTTAGGACCTTCCTCAATTTGTGACAAGAGATTGCAGTTTGATGTGTCAGAGGATCTTCTTCTCATCTCTTCATTCAACGGACTGCTAGTGACCTGAGTCATTGTCACTATCCCATCAGGTGTTGGCTTACTCACAAAGACTACTAGGGTCTCCCACCTATCCAATAATGAATCAAGCAAAATAAAGCTTATAGCTCATCCTACAGGAACAACTTCATCATTGCAAGTAGGTCAACAATGCAGCTCATTTAAGTTCTCAGCAATGGATCCCCTTTCCTAGAACATCATGTTTACAAATTTTACGATCAAGAATTCCATATTTCTAGCGGTCTTCCTCTAATACAAGTCATGTAGCTTATTCTACACTGACTTGGCAGATGTCTCCGTTGCCACATAGTGGAACATATTTTCTTTAAGCCATTGTCGAATAGTTTCGAGAGTCTTTCTGTCCAGTCTCTTCCACTCATCGTCTGTCATACCTTCAAGCTTGTTCTCTACCTCTCGATGGATGTGTACAAGTCATTACAATGTAATAGATCTTCCATCTTTGGCCTTTAGATTATCCAATTATTCCCATTGAATGATGTCTTCTTGCTCCCAGTACTGGAATACAACTTAAATCCACACACACTATTTTTCACACTCCTTCCAGTATCCCCCATTAGTTAAGCTATCCCCCATCAGTTTAATCTATCCCCCGTTGCTTAAGCTATCCCTTATCGGTCAAGCTATCCACCGTTGGTCAAGCTAGCCCCCATCGGTTAAGCTGTCCCCTATCGATTAAGTTATCCACCAGAGGTCAGGGTGTCATCGGCATTCCACCAGCTGTTAAATTGATTCACTATTGGTCAAGGTGGTGACTGATGGTTCATAAGTCAATACCTTCTATGCATAGTGACGATTCACTATTGGTTAAGGTAATGACTAATAGCCCGTCGATCAGGACCTTCTTTGCACAATAGTCACTCATAGTCTCAGACTGATGACATGTACCAAAACATCCCAAAAGCCCATTTAATCAAAAGTCAAAGTCGGAGTAGAGCTCAGGAGCACTGATTGTGATCAAAGAGCGGGATTCACAACGAGACAATGAACCTTATCCCCATCATGAGCATAAGCTCTGGAGTCAAGTTATAGCTAGGGAACCTTGCTTTGATACCACTTGTTGTACTCTGATAACAGTTGTTGGGCTCACTCAATTAGAGTCCTCTTGCACGATTGTGGATGTGTGCAGCGGAACTCGAATACATGAGACACAAAAACAATGCCAAAGTCGATGTGTATGTATAAGTGGGTAAACAAGAAAATTAGGCAAATAAGAAATAAAACTTATTGACACCTAAATTTATGCAGTTCACCTGTCAGACTACATCCATGGGAATAAGATACAAACCCACTATTAACTCAATGGTTATAATAGTCTTCCAAGAAATAAATTTTCTTGGGCTCTCTAGTTTCTTCTAAAGGGTTGTCACTCTATGAGGTTATTCTCTCTCTCTCAGATGCTTCTTTTCTTTCTTGAGGCTTTTTCTTTCTAAAAGGTTCTCTCTTTCTCTCTTCTTCTTCTCTTTAGGAGAAATGTAACTTTCTCTCTCTTCTTCCTCTTCTATGCAAAAGAAGACTCATTGTATTTTTCATACTAAGAAGAGTCAAATCAACTAAGCACTCCCATGTTTTTTCTATTTATGTATGGGCCAAAAGCGTAATGACAATTATAGAAATAGTATCCCATAACCTTTTAATTGGTGGCTCATCTCTATCTCTGTACGGAAAGAAATAAAAAGAATATTTACCCAAACCAAAACCATCACGTGAGATCCTATTTCTATGGAGTGATGATTTGGTCAACAAGTCACCATCTTTTACTTTTCTTAATTGCCCTTTTAGCAAAAGGCAATTTGCATTAGTTGGCCCTTCCTCAATGGGACGAGTGACCCAATACTGACGAGCAAGAGTATCCCCTAGTTGGGTTTCCAATTCAAAGAAATTTAAAAAATAAAAAAAAATAAGTAATAACAATAATAAATAAATTAATAAATAAAGCAAAAAATTTGTTAGTAATATGTTTCTTTATGTTCTCTCACTTTGGCAATGATTGAAAATTAGTTTGACCATGAATACTTATTTTTACATTGTTTAAATTATTTTTAAAATATCCCCATCATAAATTGAGTTTTTTCAAAATCCAATCTTTTACTATTTTTTAATTTCCTTTAGATGTATTTTATTTAGTTTTAATTTAAATATAATTTTATTTTTTTGGATTTTTTATTTATTTTTAAATCGTTTGGTCTTGGCCAAAAGTCAGCCCTAGTCAAGCCGATTATTCATCTCGTTCCTGGGCCAACCACCTTCCCTGAGTTTCTCTTTCCATCAATAGTAGAAACTAATATGTGAGGAACAAAAAGCAAAGGTAGCAAATTAAGATTATGATGTTCCACTAAATTTGCTTAACTTTGTCAATAGTGTTATGAGATTTGGCCGAGGCCACTTGGATTCTGCCTGAGTAACTCGGCTTTGCCATATGGGCCAGACGAGTTTTGGGAGTGTAGGTTGAACAACATGTTTATAAACATTATTTATGTTAATACGGTGAAGTTAAGTAATATAGGTTTAAAGGGCTCAACAGTTCGTCTTGACGCATATGATTTCATGTGGCCAGGGTTTGAATCTTTCTAGCGAACATCACATTTTCAAAGACTGTATTTTGTTTTATATGATGGACTTCTTAAATAACGTTATAGGCCCCAAAGAATCAAACCCTACACTATGGAGTTTTAAGAAAAGGGTTACAGGCCCTCAAAAATCAAACCCTACAACTCTTGTAAGGAGGCAGCTTTATGTCAGGTAGCGTAACCAATACCCTATTATCTATTTGATTGGGAAAGCTTCAGTCTAATAATACATATTACATTCTGTCTTCATTTTGTTTTAAAAAAAAAATGAGTTGGATTGGGCGAGTTACTCGGACTCGCCCGAGTAACTCACCTTGGCCAAGGCCCAAATACCTTGGCTGAGTCAATTTTCTAAAAACGGTTTGTCATTATTGTTTTCAGTCTTCATAATTCAACTTATATTTTAAACCCTATGATCCTCAACTCTTCATTTCATCTATTATCATTCGTATTTTGTCCTCTTTCGTTCTCTCTCTCTCATTTTTAGATAAACATGATCACTCAACGAGTCACTGAGGCTGTACCTTGTGTGCATATATGTAGATGGCTTCAAGGGTAGTTGTAACGCACGTGTTTTAGCATGGCAAGGGTTCGAATCTTACTAGGGAAATTCACTTTTTCAAAGATCATATTTTTTTTATATGATGAAGTTTTAAAAAAAAGTTATAGCCGCCAAGAATCAAACACTACACCATGGAGGGCTAAAAAAAATAGTTATAGGCCCCCTACAATAGAATACTACACATCTTGCAAGGAGGCAGTTTTATGTCATAATCAATCCACCATTATCTATTTCATTTTAAAAGCTTCGAGCTAATTATACATATTATGTTCTATCTTCATTTTCTTTGAAAAAATACGTGGGACTCGAGTGAGTTTGGACGTGCCAGAGTAACTCGTCTTGGCCAAGGCCTGAATAACTTGGCCAAGTTGATTTTGTAAACATTTTTTAAACATTGTCTATCATTGTTGTTTTCAATCTTCATAATTCAACTTATATTGAAAACCTTATCGTCCTCCTCAAACCTTCATTTCATCGCCTGCCTTTCTTATTTTGTCCTCCTTTATTTAATTTTATTGTATTTTCTTTGCTTTATATTTAGATGAACATGATCATCAACGAGTCATTGAGGCTATACCCACCAGTTGTTATGATAACAAGAAAATTAAAGAGAGCAGTAAGAGTTGGCAAATTCACCATACCATCAGGAATCGAGTTGGTGCAACCGACACTAGCAATACACCATGATCCAGGGCAATGGGGCAACGATGCGAACCTTTTCAAACCCAAACGCTTTTCGCAAGGACTGATGAATGCAACAAGGAGTCCAATGGCCTTCTTACCATTTGGTTATGGCCCTCGCACATGTTTAGGCCTGAATTTTGCCATTCTGGAGTCCAAATTGGCTCTCTCAATGATTCTTCCACGCTATGCTCTCATGCCCTCACCTTCTTACCATCATGCTCCTATAGTAGGGATTACCTTGGCTCCACAACATGGAGTTCCTATCATCATTAATCCTTTGCAATGATACATTTTCATTTAGTGTGATGAATTTTGATTCCTCAGATTTTTTTTTGTTTTACCATTATGTATTTTCCCAGTAAGCAAACTGTAGTAGTCTCAACTTTCAAGTTGTAAGGAACATTTGTTACAATAAGAACTCGATATGCTAAGCACCCAGCCAATTCAAAATGGACTTTCCTGTGAAAATTAAAATATACAGAAAATCATTGTGCTTATTGAAGATCAAATTCCAAATTATAATTTTCATACTTGTTAGAGTTCAAGATTTTGATTGCAAACGATGATACATCAGAGGTATAAGGGTCATTATTTAGCTTATTCCTTTAATATCACACATAAGGTAGGTATCTGCATCCACAGTCGATCGTCGAAATGCAAAGTATCAACTGATAACCAAGAGAGACTAATTGGATGAACCGGGAGAGAGAAATTTGAAAGTTGTTTTTGGGACACATGATTACCCTGCTGAAAACTTGACTTTAATGTGTGCATGTATATGCAAACGGTGTTCTCTAGAAGGATAGTTTTATTATATCACAGTGATATTATATATATATATATATATATATATATATGGTAGATACTACTAAATGCTTACAGGCGAAAATGAACAGTGATTTTGCCTACACTGATCGCGGTCACAGTTTTTCGGTAGTGTTTCAATTTTCATTTTGTTTTTGCTATTCGGAATGATCTGAAATTTGGATCGTATGTACATCTTAATGAGGCACACCTAATAAAAATATGGAAAAAATAATTCATAATTTATAAATTGACCAAAATATCTCGTAAATGTTTGCTGCTATTTTAGTCAATTTATATTTTACGAACTATTATTTTTTCGTATTTTAATTAGGTGAGCCTCACTAAAATGGACACATGCTCTAAATTAGATTTCTAAAAAAAAAAAGAAAATTGAAACACTAGCAGACAATTGTGACTGTACGATGAAGTTTGAATGCTGATGAGGGTAGGCGAAATCACCGTTCATTTTCACCAATAGGCATGGAGAAGAGTTTTGTTAGTAGCTACTCTGTCAGCCAATGGCCCAGATTGAATCTAGGTTGATTTGACGGTTGCGACCTCATTTTGTATTTGAATTTGCATTTTGTTTTTACAAATAAAAATCATATGAAATTTTGACAATCTATTCTGTCAAATCAAGAGAATCAGCATCATATATATATATATATATATATATATATATATATATATATAGTAAGTAGTAGTTCTGTCGACC